GGGAGGAGGATGGGACATAGCAGAGGGTGGGGGATGGGGAATCAAGGATGGCAAAACAAAAGGCAAGGTATGCAGGACATAAGAATTGGAAAATTATTTGCTGAGAACATGTATGTTGATGTGCTTGATTGAGCCAATGCACAGGGTATTTTGGATGGAAAATTCATTCGTGTGTTGTGATGGTGTACAGTGAATTAATGTAGAAAATGAATAAATTTTAAAAAAATTGCTATTTCATGGACAGGCCCTGTCTACATGGTTAAGGAAGTCGGATCTCACATGGCTGACTATGCTTTGAATCCCAGCCTCAGCAACTTGAAAAACACACCAGATGCGTGTGTGTGGATGCCCCAAAACCCAGCAGGATGGAGAAATGGAGGAATAGGGATTGCCGCATGGCCCTGCCCCATTGTGAGTGCTTTCTTCCTCTTTCTTTGGTGAGTGCATGGGCCCTCCAGCAATGAAAACACTCTCTCTCCTTTTATCTTTCTCATATAGAAAAAGAAATCTCTTTCTAATTTAGTAAAATTAGTATTTGTTCATAATAGGAAGTGAAATTGTACCTTATTTATTTATTTTGCTTCAGTTATTGGACTTTTTCACACCAGCATTTTTATTTGGTTAAAAAAACATTTTTTTGAGAGAGGTTTTTGCCATAAGGTGTATGCACTCGCCAGAGAAAGAGAGACAGGGACAGAAAGCAAGAAATCAACCTACCTCCCTGCCCCCAGGGAGAATGACCATACCACAATCCCTTCTTCCATTCCCCTCTTGAGATTTTGGACATGCACGCACATGTGCCTGGTGTGAGTTTCGAGCCGGGTCTGGGACTCTAACTGCAGTCGACTACATGGAGTCCAGCAATGTAACCATTACGCCATCTGCTGGTCCCAAGACAATTATTTGTAATTCTTTATTGATATTTTCTATTTGGCGAGACATCATTCTCATACTTGCCTTCAGTTCTCTATCCATGGTTTTCTTTAGTTCTTTGAGCACAGTTGCAATAGCTGATTCTTGTCTTTGTCTAGTTGAAGTTCACTGTTTGAGCCCCTCAAGGACCATTTCTATTGACTGTTTCTCCCCATCCTGTGAATGGGTCAGACTTTCCTGGGTTGGTTTGATTTTGATTTTGTTGTATGTCTCATAGTTTGTGTTGTTTTATCTTTTTTCTTAAACAAGACATTCAAAACAATGTAATGTGGCAACTCTGGAATAAGATTCTCCTGCCTCCCTAGTTTGTTGCTGTTGCTCTCTCACAATTAATCTTTCAAGATGACTTTCTATAAAGTCTGTGTCCACTGTGGCATCCACTGTGGCAACTGCTCAGTGTAGTGGTCAGCCAATGAGTGGTCAGGGATTTTCTTAAATAACTCCAACCGCTAACTCTTTTGCCCTTTGCTTACTGAATTTGGGTGGGGTGTGTGTTCCAGGTTGCTCACTGGATTGGTGTGTGATCAGGGGTCAGGCAGTTTGCAACTTGCTGTTCTTGGAGAATTCTTGGACATTTTCTTCTCCCTTGTCCTCTTTCTTCTACAACCCCAATGACATGTTAGCATGGTTGGGATTGCCCTGGAGCTCTGGGTGCTCCACTCTACCTGGACCTGGTGCAGATGACAAGACTCTGGACTGTACTACTGCCTCACACAGGGACAGTCTTGGGGGACAGAGAGTGAGTGTATTTTGCATATGGGAGGGGATTGTTGTGGCCCCAGGAAACACTGCGGTAAATCATTTCCAAAGAGGGCTGCCAGCAGTTCCTTCCACAGAAAGGAAGGGCTTATATCTCTTCTTCCCTGAAGTTTGCCCTGGTCTTATGACTTTTCTAACCAACAGAATGTAGCAGAAGTGATACTCTGGGACTCTGAAGCCAGACTTAGGGTCTTCAGCTTCTGCATTAGTGCTCTTGGGATCCAGCTGCCATGGAGAGATGCTCTAGTTGTTATCAGCCAAATGATGAGAACTTGTCAGGGCAGGGGGGCAGGTGGGTGGAGGCCCCGCCAGCCCTGACTGTCAAGGCACCCCCGCTGACTTGCAAAGTACATATGGGCAGCCTCTGTGAGCATCCAGTGGAGCTGAGCTCCCCAGTAAATGCAGCCCCATTAGTGATCCCAGGGACCATCTGAACAGAACACCTGCTGGGCTAAGTCCCTGACAGTCCACCAATTGCAAAACTACTTCTCTGGGGTGTTTTGTTTGTTTTAATTTACTTCAGGGGGGACATGGTGGCAGAGGTTAAATGCAATGGTAAGGTAAAGTCCCAAGACCTCCCTGAGTATGCTGGGTATGCTTATGCTGGTGGTCTGAGCTGGCTGAAGACTGGGGGTGGGTCACAGTATTAAGACCATGTTGGGGCTGCTGTATCTTCCTCACTCATGGAATAAATACATAAACTTAACAAAAAATACTTCTTGTTTTGTTTTGCTGTAGGGTGTGTGTGCTTGCCAGAGAAGAGGAGAGAGAGGGAGAAAGTGAGAAATCACATCCTCAGGGATGGCCACGCCACAATCCCTTCTCCATCCTCCTCTTGGTATTTTGGGTGTGCACACACGTGTGTCCAGAGTGTTTTCCGAACCACTGGGTCTGTGACTTGAACTGTGGAGCTGGTCATGTGAATTCCAGTGCCTTAACCACACCACCTGCTGGCCCCAAATTAGCTATTTTAAAAATGTTTTACTCAATGGCACTTAGTACATTCACAATGTTATGCAACCGTCACTTCTCTCTAGTCCGAGACATTTTTGTCACCCTTGAAAGAGATTCTGCCCACTAAGCAGCCAGTTCCAACCCCCCTGTCTCTGTGCTCTGGCAACAACTGGCCAGCTTCCTGACTCTGGACTCTTGTGGCTATTTCATATAAATGCAATCACCATACAGTAAGTGACCTTTTGTGTCTGGATTCTTTCACTTAGCATGTTCCCAAGGTCCATCAGTTTTCTGTAAATCTGGAACTGTTCTAAAATTCAAAAGCTAATTTAACAACGTGAGAGCTAGTGCACCTGGCTCCTCTGCCAGCTGTCCCAGAGCACCCCCTTGGAGGCAGCCCACCTAGGAGTGGGGCTGTGCTAGAGGACAGCCCTGTGCACGGCGGTCTCTGACGATGTGCTCCCTTGTTCCCAGATGAGTTGGGCAACCCTGCAGGCCACAGTCCTGGCCCTGAGTCCTGCGCCGCTGCACGGGAAACTGACTCGGTGCCATCCAGCCTCAGCAATGGGTCCCATGAGTGCCTGGGAGCCAGAAGCCTAGGGCTGCCCCGCTGCCTTCCAGTCTGGTAAGCCCCACTGCCAGGCAGGAGCAAGAGGGGGTTGAGGACCTAGAGGGATCTTCATCCCAATACCAGAGAAAGCAGCCAAGGCAGCCCTGCTTCAACCTGAACCTCAGGAAAGGGCCTTACCTATTTGTTGCAAGGCCGACCAGCAAGACAGTAGCATGTCCACAGGTGTGAGCCACCTATTCACACCAGGTGGGCGTGGTGATGGCTGCTGGGAACCATCCTGGAGTCCCCCCGACTTTGCCTTGGCCTAACTGCGTGGCTACGTGGGGATCAGGACCTCACGGGCCAAGCATAGGGACTGCTAAGCGCTGTCCCATGGCTCGCACCTGGATGTGAAGGCCTCGCAGGCTCAGGGTTGTCTGGGCAGGGGCCTGCGCGTCCTGGGCATGCTGCATCGACGCCCACCTGCTCTGGTACACACAGCCTGCTGCTCCTATGGAATCCCTCGACTGGGACTCCAGGCCAGAAGGGGACATGACCCCTGTGCCCAAGTTTTGTACCCTATCAGCTGCCTCAACCGTGGGGTTACTTAGGGCATCTTGGTGGGGTGGGTGGGTGGAGGGAGGTGGGCTTAAATGGACTGGGGGCGAGGCCAGAGCCCGAAGTGGGGTGGAAGGTGGTGAAGAAGTCAGTTGTTTCAGAGGATGAGCGGATGGAACTCCTGCATCGCTCGCTCCATCTGTAGCTTCCAGCTACCCCATCAGGCCCTCATCCTTTCCCATTTTGCCCAGGACATCCTACCTAGGGCATCCGTTCTGGAGGGCCCCACCTAACGCTGGTCAGGATCCTGGGAAGCACCTTCTCCCTTTTTCCCTGGCGCCAGTGAGACTGTTTGGTTTGTTTTGTTTAACATCAGCTTTGCTCCACTGTGGGTGGCTATGGTGTTCGGGGAGGAAAACGACCCTGCTAACTAATGCTGTTGAAGACTCTTGCATGAATGTAGCTCACAGGCCCAGAAAACATAAACGCCTACTCGTGGCTCCTCACTGATAGCAAAGTGGTGCTCTGTGCATTGCTCTGTTATTCATTGTAGCTGTAATTATGCAGGTGTTTGGCTCTGCTCTAGCTACTGTCTCTGTGGCAGGCCTAAGAATGCACCTGACCTGGCTGCGAAATCGCAGCGCCACCTGGTGACTGGGACCCTTCTTGGGAGACTGGTCTACAAGAGTTCTCGGAGCAAAAGCAGACACAGCTTACTAACGGGAATGGAGCAGTGGGTGGGAAATGCTGGCAATGATGGGACTGTTTCTGTGGCCTACACACCCAGCGTGTCTCCCTTGCCCTGAACAAGGATCTCGGAGCCCCAGCCTTCTGCATTTTCAAGCCCTTCAGGAGCATGAAAAGGGAGAGGAAAAGGGAAACTGGCCAAGTTCAACTGTAACCTGGGGAGATTCACACTGCCTTCTACCTGCTGGTGCCTAAGTGTCTGTTACTCTGCAATTCCAGACACTGGGGCTGAATCAGGGATGGCACTTATGACCAGGGCAAAGTGCAAAGACAGATCCAGGGTTTCTGGTGAGCCCAGTAGTGCCCAGGTGTGGGCAGCACTGCAGGGCGTGCTGAGGAAAAGAGAACAGATCATGCAGTGTTCACGTATACTCTTTACAGATTTATTTTTGCTCTATCTTATCCTGCCCCCAAACTGTCCAGAAACAAGGACTAGAAGGTAAGCCAGCAGCATCCATACAGTCCTGAGAAAGAGCTGAAGCCATGGAGCAGAGTTGTTCTGAGCTTAGCTCAGCATGGCCACAGGAGGAGAGTTTAGAACATAGCGCCCCAGCAGGTCAGACAGCTCAGAATGAGCTTTGGTGCATCTGAACTTGCTGAGCCCACCACGGGCCCTGGACCTCCTCTTCCAACCCCCCTGCTCCTCCCTGAGCCCCTCTGATCACTAAAGCAGATAGCCTGGCCCTACTACCAGCCTGGCAGCCCCAGGCTCTCACTCTGCAGCCGGTGTCCACCTGGTCCCTGACCCTTCACCCTGGCAGCAGGCCAGCCTCCTTCTCTACCAGCCGGCTGACCGTACAGAGGGCCAGGGGCAAGGCTGTGTTGGTGTCGCGGTGATAGCGGGGGTTGCACACCTCTCTGCTTGGCGTGAAAACAAACTGGGCCACGCTGGGCATCTTCAATAGGTTCAGCAACTCAGTAGCTCGGGTATGGACAGCATCTGTGTCCTCCTCACTGTGCACGGAGCTGGCAGCTGGGCGCTGAGCCAGAGTCCTCATCTTTGACAGGAACAGAGACACCCTGGGGATAGAGTCCCTGACCAGTCAGTTGCAAACACACACCTCACATGGAAAGGGGTCTTCATGGAAGGGCCACACCCCTTGAAGCACCCAGCTTGCATGGCTTTAGCTGGGCAATGCTCCCTGCCCTGGTGAGCCCAGCCAACATGGCCCATGCCACCTGTGTCTGGCCAGAACCCTTGCTGCTGCTGAGGTTGGTTCAAAACACCTGGGACAGGGAAGCTCTCAGAAGCCAGGTCTTTCCCCAAAGGCAGACAGCAGGTTTGCTCTTCCCATTCTCTAACCAGGTACCTGGGAATCAGATCTTGGCTCCGAGAGGCCAGCTTGGTCAGCGTGGTCATAAGCACAGTGATGACCTGAGAGGGACACTTGGGCAGGGTAGCCGAGGGGCGGCACTGGGTGATCTCAAAGAGTAAGGCCTCCAGGGCTTCGAAGAACTTGTTGATCTGCTCCGCAGTGCACCTCCTGTCGTAGCTCACTGCCAGGTATTCGCCGATGGCCCACACCTAGGCCCAGAGCAGAGGCTCAGCCCATGGACAGCCCCTGCTGTCAGATAAGGGACAGGGGAGGATGATGCAGGCCTTACCACGCTGGTGACCATGCTTGCCCTTCTGTGGACATCACTCACGCTTCCCACGAACTCTAGGAGGTCTTTCGCCAGTTCGACCACAAGGGAGGGCTTCAGCTTACACAAGGCCAGGAACTGGGAGCTCAGCACCCTGCCCAGAAAGCAGGGATGCTCATGAGCTCCATCCATGTTCCGTAAAGGACACCAACCCTACCCCACCCCAGCCCCTCCATCCGGGCCAAGGGCCAGGAGGTGAACAGAGAAACCTCTCAAGCCAACTGAAGGCTGCACTCTTGAGGGGAGACAAGGATGGTCTTCAGCCCTAGAGAAACTTCTCACCTCACTGGGGAGAAGCCCTGGCTGGCCCCATACTCAGTCTCAGGTCCAGGTGGAGGAGGACAAGTCCGTGTGTATTAGGCCTTCAGAAAGAATCCCCAGGGTGGGAGGTATGGAAAAGAGACTGAGCCAGCCCTGAAGACAGACTTGAGGGAGGAAGGTATGGGAAATGTTTTGGACAAGGATGAAGAAGTGCCCCTGGCTAGATTTAGGGCTGAAATTGAGAAGCCACCTAAGAGGAGACATGCTCATTTAAAGGTACCAGGAGAACCAGCCTAGGGGCTGCAGGAGCCAAGAGAGCCCCACAGGCTGTGCGGGACTCACCTGTGCATGCTGGCTTCATACCCTGGGACCTGGTAAAGTGAGTCACTTCTCTCCAGGAGCAACAGTGCCAGATGGCTGATCAGGGCTCCATCTGCAAACTGGGGGTCGAGAGTGAGTCAGGTCCCTAGTCTCACCCCTAATGAATACCACCTTCTGCTGCCCACACTCAGGGAGGTAAGAAGGCAGATGGAGAAGGTGGCAGGGGCCACCTTTTGGGGACACACTGATATAGCCCAGCTGTGCTACTAGTCCCAGGGCCACTCACTTGCCCCATGACCTGGGACTGGGCGAGACAGGACCGCTGGGCTGTGGTGTACACAGCCCTGTGATACTCCCTGATCCTCAGAGTGGACAGAGGGTGCAGCGAGATGAACTCTCCTACAGAGGTCAGGGACAATGTCATGGTCCCGGAGGCCCCTCGGGTTGTATGTGAAGCCCTGGGAGTGGGGGCTCACCTGGGTCACGGCCAAGAAGAACACCTGGAGCAGGATGGGCACAGCCTCAGCGCACTGGACCACCCGGGCACAGCTGGCCATGGGCTGCAGCAGCTGGTGGAGCGGTGTCAACCTGGGGATGTATGTGGCAGCTGAGCACCCACTGGCTGCCCACACAAAGACCGTGGCGGGCCCACTGAGCCCCTGGCAGTTCTTGGCCCGAGGGCCCTACCTCTCTGAGGTGCCACTGGCCTTGGTGCGCAGCAGGTGCTGGAAGAGACCCTGGAACTGTGGGTCCCGGAAGGCCTCCATGCAGCTGGGAATCCTCAGGGAGGTGTCCCAGAGTGGCCTCTCAGATGGGGCCGACAATGACCTAGGAGCAGACAGACGTTGAGGCTGGACTGGGAGGCAGATTCCTGACATAGCCATCCAAGGACTGACTAGCCCCTGCACTCACAGGCATCCACTTATAGGGAGACACACAGCAGATATCACCGCAGCATTCACAGGAAAATGCCCCAGGTGGCAGGTAGCAACCTGGGGAGGGGGGGCCCAGGGAGGCTCCACCACTGAGCATAAAACTCCAGGGACTGGAGGGGCCCTCGGTGGCAAGCACAGGGCTGCAGAGAGCTGCTTTGTGTTAGCTTCATAGGCAGGAACAGCAGAGGGGTGCAGGGGAGGAATGAGAGGGGTTCCAGCACTGGGCGTGTCAGGAGTGGTGGAGAAAGGGTGTACATGACTGGCTGGATGGGCAGGGGTAGGGCCAGCAGAGGGGACGGAGCGGGGGCCCACCTAAGCTGCAGGTCCAAGGCCGCAGTCAGGCAGGGCAGGTCCAGCAGTGCGTGCAGCATCTCCACGGCTGTGCTGGCATCAACCAGGACCGGGAGGAGCCCCACGAACTCAGAGGTGAGTGGGGGGCTGTTCCAGGCGAGGAGCTACAGGGACAAGTATGGTGGGGCTGAGTGGCAGGGCCATGATCACTGCTTATACACTCCCCTCAGGGGATTTCTTTCTCTCACAACTTTTCTTTCTTCCCTTCCCTTCCCTCTTCTTCCTTCCTTCCTTCCTTCCTTCCTTCCTTCCTTCCTTCCTTCCTTCCTTCCTTTCTTTTGCCTTAGCATCCACTTTCATAACAACAATAAAATCAGTCACTCCCCACTTGTCGCCATTGCTTTTTCTCTAGGAAAAGAACTAAATTTCCAGCTGGATTTAAAAGGCCATGCAATGAGGTGTCAGTGGCAAAAGGCACTTCAAAACTAATGGGGGCCAGCCCCACAGCCCTGTGGTGAAAGGAAGCCAGATCCTACACAGCTAACATGGTTTGAATCTTGGCCGTGGGGGCTTGAAAATATGCAGGGTGCATGTGTGTGTGTGTGCCCAAAGTCCCCAAAGGATAGAGAAATAGAGAATTGTGGCATGACCACACCCTATTAGGGGGTGCTCTCTCCCTCTCTTACTCTAGTTAGTGCATAGGCCCTCTGACAATTAAAAAATAAGTAAGACAGAGACCAGCAGTTGGCATAAAGGCTATGTTGCTGGACTGCCATGTAGTCGACCATGGTTCGAGTTCCGGACTAGTGGCTTAAACTCACGCCTGGCATGTGTGCGTGTGTGCCCAAGATCTCAAGAAGAAAATGGAGGAGAAGGGATTCCTGTGTGGCCATCGCCCCTTAGGAGGAGGGGGTGATTTCTTACTTTCTGTCTCTCTGTCTCTCTGTCTTTCTGGTGAGCGCATGCACCCTTTAGCAAAAAAACTCTCCAAGAACAAGAAAAAGAAAAGAAAGAAACCTGCTATATTGGGATCAGCAGTTGGCATAATGGCTATGTCACTGAATTCCCATGTGGTCAACTGCGGTTCGAGCCCCAGACCTGGTGGTTTGAACTCATGCTGGGTGCATGTGCATGCGTGCCCAAGATCCCGAGAGGAGAATGGAGGAGAAGGGATTGCGGTGTGGCCATCTCCTCAGGGGGTGATTTCTCGCTTTCTATCTCTGTCTCTTTCTGTTTTCCTGGTGAGCACACATTCCTTGTAGCAAAAACCTCTTTAAAAAAAAAAAGAAAAGACAAAACAGTGGCACCAAGGAAATGAATACCCCCAACAAGGCTACTGAGTAAAGAACCGACACACCAAGTCGGGGTTACAGCTAAGCATCCTGCCCTGCAGGGGCCACTCACAGACTTCTCCAATGGCCGTGCTGTTTGTGTGACGCACGCCCCCTGCATCCCCTACACTTCACCTCACACCCTGCCTTCTCTACACTCACAGTCGGGGCTCAGCCTGTGGTCTCTATGGGAAGAAAGAAGACCTGGACACTTGCAGCCCCACCCTGAGCACCAGAGGATGACCAGACATGCCTTAAAGAGGTTTGGGAAGTTCAATTTGAGGATGCTGAGGTTCCCGCTGAACAGGTGAAGGTTGTCCCGGCAGAACTGGATGAACTCGAAGGCCAGCATTGGGTTGTGGAAGAGCTCAGAGGGGATTCTGGTGAAGAGGTGCTGGTAGATGGCTTCTGAGTCCACCGCAGCTGCCTCCCCTGAAAGGTGCCAGGATCCCTCGGGGTGAGGGCCCCTCCAGACACGGACATGTGGCACTCGTCATAGAACCTGCTTCTGTTGCTGGCTGGGGCTCCTTGGAGCCTTGGGTCACCAGTGTCTCTAAGACACCGCGGACTCTGAGTGTCCTAAGTGGGGAAACCAGTTAAGCCCTGCTCTGTCTACATTTCCCCAATGGCCAGAGGCAGCTTCTCGCAAATGAGGGGGGAACACTGAACAGTGCTGGTTCCTTGATTTGGGGGTTTCACAGGCCAGTGATGGAGCAAAGTGAGTTTCGAGACTGACATAAAGGTAACGTCTTATTTTAAAAATGCAGGGACCAGCAGATAGTGTGGTGGTTACATCACTGAACTCCCACACGGCCGACTATAGTTCCAATCCCAGACCTGGTGGCTTGAAAATCATGCAAAGCACATGTATGTGCATGCCTAAGATCCTGAGAGGAAAATAGAATAATGGAGGAGGACTGCGGCATGGCCATCCTCCCCCCAAGGGGTGATTTCTCACTTTCCCTCTGTTTCTCTCTCTCTGGTGAGCACACACACCCAATGGCAAAAAAAACCTCTTAAACACACACACACACACACACACACACACACATAAAAATGTAAAAATTATTACCATGCAGGACCAACAGCCCACAAAAGAAACAACAGTCTGAAAATCAAAGAGGCCCAGCTTTGGGGGGTGCAGGTGCTAGTGCACTTATCTGCAGTGTTAGAAGCCACGTAGCCAGCTGTGGGTTTGGATCCCTGAGCTGACCTAAAACACGGCAAGTGTGCAGGCACCCAGGATCCTGACTAGCTGGAGAGCTGGGGAGGGGGATCACAGGGAGATGAGATCTGCTGAAAGTGCCTGCTCGCTCTCTCTCTCTCTTGCACACTCTCTGCTCTCTCTTGCTCTCTCACGAAATAAAGAATAAAAATAAAAGGAAAGAGAAGAGTTCCATTAGGACAAAAGCCAACCTTCCGTGGAACACATCCCATGTTCCATTCAGGCTTACCATGGTTCAGGAAGAACCGGGCGAGGGGCAGCAGTGCCCGCACGTAGGCCGGGTCCCCGCGCAGCCGCCCGTGCAGGGCCTGCAGGCAGGAGAGGGTGCGGTACAGGAAGGAGGGCTCCTGCCGGCACAGCTCGTCCAGAACCAGCACAGCTTCTACCAGGCACTGTCGGGACACAGGGCCTCGTCAGACAGAGCCACCACCTCCTCCACCTCCCGAATGGCCAGTTTCTTACGGCTTTCTGTAGGTCGGCGTCCCCCTTCCTCAGGGCCCCTGGGAAGAAGAAAGCCAAATCGTCCCTGCAGCCTCAAACAGCCCCATTTGAAGGTGTCTGTGCTCTAGAAGCTTGAGTTGAGGACAGTGAGTGACTGACTGAGAGGGGGCACTGGAGAGGGCAGCAGGTCCCGAGGGAGCTGGATAGTGGGTGCTGATGCCCACAGAGCAGGTGGGACGGGGCACAGCTGGGAGCACAGGAAAAGGTCCCAGTGCTGATCTTGGGCAACGAAAAGTCCCCTGCTCAGAACCAGGAAACAGGACCCCAGCCGCCCCTGGGCAGCACCTCAGGGAAGGACTGCTGCCCTCTACCTCCCGGGGGGAGGAGCTGAGCTGGGGAGACAGAGCCAGGAGGGGTCCAGATGTGGCCTGGGACTTACGTCGGTTACTCTGCTCAATGAGGCGCTGGCAGTACTCGAAGGCCACCTCCCTCAGTCGCTCCCGGGGAGGCAGCAGGCGGCTGGCGGTGGAGGCGGCAGAGAGCACAGACAGGGTGGAGCCCTCCAGCTCTGATTTGTCATCTATGGAAGGAGGGAGTGCTTGGTGAGAAGGGTACATGCTCGGCCACCCTGTCTAGAATGGCAGAAAGAGAATCAGACGTGCTCTCAGTGCTGGCCCGGGCCCGCCCACCCACCTGGCAGCATCCCCCCACTGAGCAGCCCTGAGGGCAGGTGAGGGTTTCCCAGCAGTGAAACCACAGGGTGTCTAGACTGCTGGTTCATTTTATTTGTATAACCCAAAGGCTTGTAGAGAGGAGTTCAGTGAAGCTGTCCCAACAACCCTAGACGTCTGCCCTAAATGATGGCTCTCTGGCTTCTCCGTACACATCACACGAGGGTCATGGACATGTCTGAGAAAGGCCTTCCAGTGCAGAGGCCTCAGCTAAGCTCTGAGTCAGCAGGCCTTCCTGCCCAGCCTCCCGACTCAGTGTCCCTGCATCCAACCTGTGGGGCACCTACATTCCTCCCGGACCCACTCACCTCCCACCCTTATCTGACCATGGCCCACCTTGGTCCCATCCCCGCACACCTGTGTCTGGGGTCCCCGGGCCTTCCGGGCCACTGTGCAGCAGCCACGCCCGCAGCATGGAGAAGGCCTGCACGTTCAGCCGCTGGTCCTCCGTGAAGTGTTGGGCTGTGGAGAGCACCGTGAAGAAGTCTGTGGCCACTGCCCCGTCCACCTCGGTGACAGGACCCGGCTGTAGGAGGAAGGACAGGTGGGCTGGAGGCTCCCTGGGCCAGGATGGGCAGAAGGGGCTAAGGCCAGGGAAAGGCTGACAAGCTCTTAATCAACCACCGTGAATGTGAGCTTGAGTATGGCCCATCCAGGCAGTGGCCCTCCTCTGTGAGGCAGAAAGGCTGCATGACTCCAGCCACATACATGTCTCTGTCCTCTGCAACCCACACAGGCCCCCAGAGCCACACAGGCTGGGGGCTGTGATGCTGCCTGACCCGAAGTGCCCCAAGCAGAGACAGGACATGAGATTGTCCTGAACCCAGGTGGAAGGACAGGAGCAACCTGCCAGGCTGGACTAGGCCATGGCAGGCACGGGAACTCCCCAGGGGAGGGCAGTCCTATAACCCTCAGGGGCCTCACCTGCCGTGTTCTGGGTGTGGAGAAGAAGCCCCCAGCATGTGGAAGGCCTTGCTGGATGCTGGCGTAGCGGAGCCAGTCCACCAGCCTCTTGCTGAACAGAGTAGTTTGGTCTGCAGAGAAGGGGCAGGGATCCCACGGAGGGAAACAGGTAAGCCCTAGACCTCTCCTCCCCCTGTGACACTGGTAGAGCTTTCTCAGTAAACAGGCATCTGATCCAAGGGAACCCCACAGAACCTGATACCCTTGGGCCTCCTCCAGACATGAACCGGGGGGCTGTGGGGCTCACCAGATGACATGACCAGCCTTCTCCCATACCCCGCCCAAGGGAATACTGTGGAAAAGGAGCTGGGGAGGGGGGACCCACACAGGGTCTTGAGAAGGGGCCTCACCCACCTTCCTGCAGGCTGCTGGGGGCAAGGCTGATGACCTTGGACAGGACAGGGAGGAGATGCCTAAGACTGGGTCCCTCAGGCTGCCGGCTCTCCAGGACTTTGAAAACGTGCTGGCCCACGTGTCTGACCTCCTCTCTTCTGTCACCCTTTAATCAAGACACAGGCCCAAGTGCTGAGCAAGGCCATCCCTGCCCCACCTCAGAAGTCTGCGTGAAACGCTCTAAGGAACATTGGTTCTAGAGACCCCCTTCTCGGAGACTCGGGGAGGATGGTAAGCCAGCCTGCTGGGTTCCCCTGAAGGTCCAGGACGACAGGCTAGGATGGCCACCTTCAATGGTGACAGGCACGTTACCTGGGCCAAGAGCACAGAGGCCACCAGGCTCAGCTGCCGGTTATTCTGGGTGTGGTCACAGGACAAGGTCAGGCTGTCTGAGGGTGACATCTCTCTCAGGATGGCAGCGCAGAGAACCTGGAGCTGCTCGGGGCAGGTCGGCAGGCACAGGGTGGACTGCAACAGGTCCACACATGTCTTCTCCAGTCTGGAAGGTGAGGCACCGACAGGCGGGTGGGCAGGCGATACATCGCGCCCGAGGCGAGACCACCTGGCACCCCAGAGAAGATGTCCTTGGTCCCTCTGGCGGATGGATAGAGCGTTTTACAGGGGAAGACCTTTGGCTCTGGTGTGAGTGGACAACGAATCACATGGAAGGAACATTTGCACCAACTTCCCTTAGCAGGTATGGACCAGGTTCCCCCTGTGGGCCGCTGAGTAGGAGCTGGGCCCGAGTGATGATCGCACTCACCTCCGGTTATACTTCGTGGCTGAGACGATGAAGAAGAGTCTCTGCAGGGAGTCCACAGTGTCAGGCCCAAAGTCTTCCTTCTGCAGCAGCTTATTGATCCGGGAACAGAACTTCTCCAACTCCTCATCTTGGATCTCCCTGAATGAACAAGAGGATGTCAGCAATCAGGCAGCAGCAAGGGACCCAGAGTGCTGGTCTGAGCGACAAAAGACCCTTGACCTAGGCAGAATACCCACTGAGCAGAAAGAGTAGGGAGTTGTGAGAGGAACACAACCCCAAGAGCCCCTTCAGGACCTCTCGTGACAAACCCACTGATTACCGCTTCTCCTGGACTTTAGTGATCTCTTGCTGCTGTGGTTATTATACAACCAGCCTCAAAATGGAGACCCTGCAGGTTCCCGTCACATTATTCTAGGAGAAAAACTAGTACTGGCTGTTTTTAGGAGTCTCATTCAAAAGTAAGGAATTGTATCTAAAATCAGTTGCTTTTCAAAAATGCTTTCAATCTAAAATCAGTTGCTTTTCAAAAAATGCCTTCAATGAGTCTTTCACTTACGGAAATAAAGGTAAATCTTATATATTAAAGAGCAAATGTTATCATACAGTAAGGCAAGCCTATTATAATTTCTTACTTTAATACTTACTTGGGTTAACTTATCTATTATCTATAGAGCACTGCTAATGGTAAGATATTGAACAAAGTCTTAAAGTGGAAATCTGTTTTTAGGTTTCTCTATCAGTCTAAAAGGTGACGTGAAGTCACTGTACTGGGTACCTCTGAGGTTTTCCGAGAAAGACCCTCTACATGGCTGTGCCCTCTGCACATATCCCTCTGCCTCTGCCAACTCCCCAAGCCATGGCTGAAGCCCTGCTCTAGTCTCCTGACCATGGCATGCTGATCAATCCAACATGCACACTAAACCCCCTCTGGGCTGGAGCGCAGAAATCTGGGGTAGTGAACTGAGAGTGAAACAGAGAATCCCAGCATCCGAGAAAGTTCAATGTGTGTCCAGGGCTTAGGGTCTGGGGTGCTCCTCCCATTTCCTGCTCTTCCTTGAAGGCTGTTGGATAAGGCCTAATAAATTTCCCACCACCCCTTACTTCCATTTATTTTATTTTATTTTTTTTCACTCAAGCTGGCTGGAGCAATCTCAGTCGCCAACAAACAAAAGAACAGGCACATGATGGATGAGAAAAAGGAGAGCAAGATGACAAGAAAGAGGACTAGTCCAGGCCTGTGTCTAACAGGGTAATGACCTGCAACTATAAGTCCTAAATAAGAGCAAAGAAGAATCTTCTAGACTGCCTTGCAATTACAGGGAAATTTCCCCAAAATGATGGTGTGTTTCACACTCCTTAATCCCCTTCAATATATTCTCCAAGTGTCAGGCTTCCTTCTAAAAGGCCAACCTACCCAAACTCCTCAGTAGCTCCCCACTGCTTTCAAATCCATACTCTTACAGCCCCCAATGTGGCCTGCAAGGCCCAGACCCCTCCTCCCTTCTCTGTTTCTCTTGTTCCTGTCCCTTCCCATAGGACCCCCCTGCCTGAAATACTCCCCACTCACCTCCTGAGCTGCTGACTAGTTGCATTCTTCTAGAAATCTCCCCTAACCCTGATGTTCAGCTCCCCAAAATCTCCACTTTCTGCATCATTTACTCTTCAGTTTATGGAGATGTTTCTGAAAACTTTTTCCACCCTTGCTTTCCACGTCTCTGCAATATTTAGAAAGAAACTAAAGTCTACTCCAGATCCTAACTCTCAAACCATATCCACTTATTTTAAAATGCTACTAGAAATCACAGGCTTAAATAAACTGTAGAAACTAGTAAGACTCCCCACTTCCCCCGTAGGTCTTTAGCTTTCTTCAAATCTTAACAGAGAGGAGCTATATAAAGAGTCGTCAAAATGTTAATGGAAAATGTCTATGAAAAAATTATGGATTTCAAAAAAATGTTGGCACCATAATAAATTTGTACTTTAATTTCATTTTTCCTACGACCTTTTTGAAGTACCCTTGCATAACTCATGTATTTTATAAAGGGCAATTCAACCACCCACTACCTCAACATAATTATTCAGCTAAGACAGAGAGAAAAATAAGAATTTAAGTAAGGGAGTTTTTTTTTTTTTTTGCATTTCTTCTTTTCACAAGTTTTCATCCTTGAGTAGAGTATGAGCTGAGAATGAAGTTGTGATGGTACCAAGCGCTCTAGCTCGGGACACAGAGCTCTCCCTGCCTTAATTTTCGACAAGCTCTGCAGCCTCTCTGTGCTCTTGCCTGCCAAGCAGTTAACAGCATCTGGCCACCCCACTCCTTTTAGATGCAGGTTGCAGTTTTTCTGCGTTTTTTGGCAAGCACTTTGGGGCAGGCATGCTGCATGCCAACTAAGAAGCTAGTGTTTTCCATTTAATACAGCCCCTGAGCTGCAATGAACTCCACATCTGTCCAGTACTGAAGGGAAGGCAGATGAGACTTCCTGGGAGATGATGCTGCACATCCACCAAGTGCTCTTAGATCTGTGAGAGACATTTTTTTTTTTTGAGAGATTTTCACTGTAGGGCGCGTGTGCTCGCCAGACAGACAGAGAGAGACATAGAGACAGAAAGCGAGAAATCACCCCCAGGGGGGATGGTCACGCCGCAATCCCTTCTCCTTCATTCTCCTCTCGGGATCTTGGGCACGCACGCACACGCGCCCGGCGTGAGTTTTAAGCCACCGGGTCCGGGACACGAACCATGGTCGACTACGTGGGAGTCCAGCGACATAGCCATTACGCTAACTGCTGGTTCCCTGTGAGACATTTTGACCAGAGATTTTTCGTCCTGTTTACAGACTTTAGAACTTAATCTGCAAGACTGTGCCCACTAATCACAGCAACCTCAACCATACTCAGCTTCCCAGATGGAACTAGAAGCATGGGCCAACTACTCCTGGCTCTCATTTTAAACAGAGTCTATTTTGCCCAGGCCAGTTTTGACCTTGCCATCCCTGTCTCAGCATCTCAAGTCTCTGGAGTTATAGACACATGTCAACAGACCATTTAGTTGAACCAAGAATTAAGCCCTGCCCCTCCCCCCAGCCTGTGGAGCATGCCTCCTAATGTTATGGCTGGGCCTGTCATTGTAGTCTTCTACCAATTGGTGCAGCTCTGAACCTAGATTTTGTTGTTAAGCTTACCAAAAGCTTGTGGTTCTGACTGCATTTTCTTCTTTTAAACAACATCAAACCTTAGACTGTCTGGTGAGCTGTGGTGCTTTTTAGTCCTGGCCTACACTCTGCTTTCTCCCAGAGCTGGAGGGCCAGTAAGGAAGGAGCTACTGAGTTGTTAGTGGGAGTCCAGAACCAGCCTAACCAATGCATCAGGCCAGAGCGACCTCTCTAAATCACAATTCCCTGCTTTTTATTTCTTTATTTGGAGAGATTTTTGTTATAGGGCACGTACGCTTGCCAGAAAGACAGAGACAGACAGAAAGCGAGAAATCACTCCCCAGGGGGGATGGTCACACCGCAATCCCTTCTCCTCCATTCTCCTCTCAGGATCCTGGGCATGCACGCACACGCGCCCGGTGTGTTTAAGCCACCGGGTCTGGGATTCAAGCCAAGGTCGACTACATGGGAGTCCAGCGATACTGCCATTACGCTAACTGCTGATCCCCACAATTCCCCCTTCACTCCCCAACCACCCTGGGTAGTATCAAGAGCTCTACCTCGGGTTACAGAGCTCTCCAGTCTCTTTGTGACTCTAGCGGCACCTGGCCACCTCCCTCCCATTAGGGTCGGGTTCTCATCCCCAAGCCTTTGCCCAAACAATCCACTGGGTCTCACCCCACTTCGCTTCCTCTCATCCATCCTTTAAACTCTGTCACCTCCTCCAGGCTCCACCTAGGTCCTCGCCCGGCCTTCGCACCAGTGCCTGGCCGTGCCTTCCCGGACTCAGGTCTCTAGGGTGGACGCAGTCGTGATTCCGCACGGCCTGGCCCCAGCTCTCGAGACCCACCCCCAGGCGCCCGTAGGGAGAAGTGCTGGCACGCAGGCCGGTGACACGGCTTTCCCCCGCACCTCGCCTGGTGCAGCAAGCTCTCCGCACCCGTGGTGAACATTCCGCTGCCGCCACCTCGGCCGGCACACCACCGACCCAGCACGCAGGATCAGCGACACTCCAAGAACCCCAGACTGCTCACCCGACCAGCTTCCGGGTCAAGTCACGTGCAGCGTCCGGCGGGCGGGGAAAGGGTGCCCGCCAATAGGCTTCCGCGAGCCTCGTGGGCGTGGCCGTAAGCGGTGCGCCGTGGGTCTCTCAGTTCCTCCTGGTTCTGGAGACCGCGGAGTCTCGTGACTCCGAACCCTAGGAGTTTAGGATTCTTTGACCCCGGCACAGGTTCCAGTGGAAACCGAGATCCTGGGGTATCGGGAAAAGGCCTCACGGGCTCCAAAGTGCACTTGTCCCAAAGAACGCTTGTCCCAGTTCCGATTTGTTTCATAAACACAGCTCGGTTGCGTTCGTGTCCTGAAAGTGTTAAACAAAAAAACTCTGCCACTTGTGAGCTGGGGTCCACGTACAGCAGTTTCGAGGAGCAGCTTGACTTAGCAGCGTGTGTGCGTGTGTTTTAGAAGAGATTTTTGCTTCAGGGTACTTGTGCTCGCTGGAGAGACAGAGACAGAAAGCGAGAAATTACCCCCCACCCCCCACCCCACGGGGTATGGCCTCACAGCAATCTCTTCTCTCCATTCTCCTCCCGAGATTTTGGGCACGCATGTACACACGCAACGGAAGTGAGTTTCAAGCCTCCTTAAGTCTAGGGCTCCAACCGCAGCCAGCCATGTGGGAGTCCAAAAACATTAACCATTACCTCATCTGCAGGGTGTGTGTGTGTGTGTGTGTGTGTGTGTGCGCGCGCGTGTGAGTTAAAACTCTTATTTAGCGCCTATCATGGACTGTAAAAATAACCCCTTGGGTGGTGGTTAAGGCGCTGGAATTCCCACGTGGGATATTCTGTTCCAGTCCCAGACCTGGCAGCTTGCTTTCTAACTCTCCCTGTCTGTCTTTCTCTGGCAAAACTGATGTGAAATAAATAAATTAATAAATGAAATAATTTTTAAAAAATCATCATCATCATCATCCCTTGGTCCTGTGGATCAGAAATAAAGGTGTCTGACTCTTCTTTGTTTGTCGGGCAAAGTGAAAGGCATATTCGAGATAAAGCAGGAGGATGGGCCGCTGAGGAACAAAGACTTCAGAAGACTAATCAGTGCTTTGAGGTTGTGGAGCTTGAGATTTTCTTTTATAGGGAAATTGGGGGGGAAAGGGAGTCACAAACATTTCTTTTGTCCTAAGCACTCAATATTGGTTCTCATATAGGTTTTGGTAACATCCCTCTGGGCGGAAGGTTAGATGACATGAACAACATAAGGACTGTGGTAACTTAAGAGTACTTTTACTTTAATGCCAGCTAGTCAGTGAATTCTTTGTTCAGAAGTGTCCTTGAGGGCTGGCTGGTGACATGGTGGTGAAGGCAGCTAGATCCCAAGTGGCCAAGTGTGTGATTCCAGTTGTGGATCAGCAGCTTGAAAAACACAACCCAAGGTGTTGTGCATGTATGCCCAAAATCTCGACAGGAAGGAGAAATGGAGGAGGGTTTGCAGTGTGAGCATCCCCCCGTGGGGGGTGCTTTCTCCTTCCCTCCCCCTAGCACGTGCCTTTAAGAAAATAAAAACAAAAAACTGTCCTGAGTAATTACTTCAGTGTGCAGGAGACACTTGAGACTTCATACACTTATCTGAGGCCAGTTTTTAACTAAACCTCCTTGTTCTTAGACTTTTATTCTCTTCTCAAGGACTAACACTGGTGGGACTAGCCAGTGATGTGGTGGTTAGGCGACTGGATCTCACATGGCCAAATGCAGTTTGAGTCCCAGACCCTGTGACTTGAGAAACAAGCTAGGCATATGTGTGTGCATGTCCAAGGGTCGGAAAGAGGGAGAAATGGAGGAGAAGGGATTGCAGCATGACCGTCCTCCATGGGGATGCTTTCTCATTTTCCCTGTCTCTTGAGCAAGAAAAAAAAAAAAAGGACTAACATTGGTTAAGAATTTTTAGTCTTAAGTCTATCTAGATTTCTATGACTGTAATTTTTCTTGCCATAGCCCAGAAGGTGTAAGTTAGTTCACAGGCCAAAATGCTCCAGCCAGTCTGTGAGCACATCTGAATTCCCTGGAAGTTATAAGATCATGGTGTGCATAGCTCATATTCCAATCCTGCATACCTCTCAAGGCCTAAATAATTTTGAATATGTTACACTTCTTACGTGCTTTCTCAGTCAGAGGACCTTGCCATCTGTTTTACAGATGAAGCAACAGGCTCAGAGAAAATTGGTTTCTATTCATTCTAAAGATGTGTTGGTGCTGGGATTGCTCAGGCCTGGCCTGGGGACCAGTTTTACATGCTGCCAACTGCATGGGGACCCAGGGATTTTAGCAGTAACAAATCATCCTGACAAATGCTGTGAGTCTAAATTGGGCAGGGATCATACAGAGGGCAGTCTTCCACTAGAACTGGAGTGTAAAACGAGCCCAGAGATGTCCAGACCAAGAGGCGGGAGGGTTAGGCCTAGGTAGAAGGTACTGAAGTCTGCAGGACTATTGCTTCCTGTGGTTTAAGTGCACCCGAGAGGGAACCTGACCCCTCACTACAGGTTAGTGAATGAATTGGGAATGCAGGGAGAAAGAGAGGCAGAGAAAAGCCTGGTGCAGTTGTTGCCCAGGAGGAGGAGGTTGCCCAAGGAAGTGGAAGATTCAATAACCATTTAGGGTAGGATTTGCAGGACCTGGTTTTGATTAATTTAGAGGCAGGAGGAGGAATGGGGAAAATGAAGGGCAATAGCAGGTTTCTGGCCTGAGCATTGGGTGGTGCCATTCACTTGATTTGGGAGCAGAAAAGTCTGTGGAGGAAGTTTGTGGAGTCATTCAATGAACAAGCCAAGGTGAAGTCCCTACCTGTGTTAGGTACTGTTTTTGATTCTGGGAAATAAAGGGGTGAATGGGAAGGAGTGTCCTTTGGACATGGTGGAGGTGTTCAGCACCCAGTGGAGGTGTCTGAGGGCAACTAGTGCTGATGGCGAAAAGATGGGAGCCAGCTGATGGTGAGTGAAGCTGTGAGAGGGCTACTACCTGGAGGGCAACAGAATGTGGTGAGTAGCCCTGGTGACCCTCAAAGAGCTGCAGGTCGAAGAGACAGGAAACTGGCAACGAAAGCCTGGTCCTAAGTAGTCTAAAACCCTATAGCATTCTGGGACCCACAGATGGTGTAATGGTTATGTCACTGGACTCCCACATGGCTGACATGGTTTGAATCCCAGAGCCAGCTGCTTGAAACTTACATTGACTGTGTGTGCATGCATGCCCAAGATCCTGAGAGGAGAATGGAGAAGGGATTGCTGTATGGCGTGGCCGTCCCCCCAGGGGGTGATTTCTTTCTGTCTCTCTAGCTCTGTCTGTCTCTTTGGCGAGTACACACGACCTATAGTAAAAATCTCTTAAAAAAGAAAAAAAACCCTGAAAACCATATGGCATTCCAACCTTAATGTTTATTAAGGTAGAGTGTACAAATCCTCAACAAACTTGTTTTCCATTTCTATAAACCAGTGGTTTGGGCTCTGTTGAGAGAGGAGAGTAGATCTGTCCTTGACCATTTCTATGATGTAAACATTCTTGCCACAGCTGACTTCAAGATCACATACCGATTCTATCAAGCAATATTACCATGCATAACATTCGAGCTATTTCTTAATCTCACTAGTGAAAAATAGCTGTCCTGATCAAATACAAAATTTAAGAAACTATTTTTTAAAAGAAATGCTATATGGCCAATACCAAGGAAACATTATTCTGTCATGCTTACTATCTGGCAGAGAAGCGTCCATCCTTTAGCTGGAACTGTGGACAACTGTCCATCTGGAAAATGCAAGTTATCTATGTAGCTGAATGAGATAGTGACTCACATGCACACATCCTAAATACCCTGACAAATGCACATTTTCACAAGATCCCAAGTGGGAGGCAGTCTGTGGTGGAAACACTCAGGGTCTCTGGTAAGACACCCAGTGTCTTCCTCATTGGAAGAGGAGATGATCTCATTGCAGCTGATGTGCATGGAGCCTCTGCAGGCACCCAGTACTGCCTCCCTTAAGTTCTGTGAGGTGGGGCTGCCCATTCTGGAGAGGACTGAGCTCAGGTGAGTCTCATAGCCGGTAAGCAGGAGAGTGGGGATACAGCCCCAGTTCTGACTCCAAAGCCAATGTGCAACCGCATCCGCCATGCTGCCTTCTCGCCTTGCCATACCTAGAATAGCCAAGGCTGCAAAAAGCATACACACAGTGGGTAAAACTCACTCATCTTGCCAAGTGCCAGGACCCACACCTGCCCGGGTCTGGTGACACATTGCCTGGCAGCTACAGGTGTTCCCCAGGCAAGCTATGGGCCTCTGCCCAGGAGCAGGCATGGCAGGGTCCTTCCTTACACGTCCGAGGACCTGCAGACACTTACACTCAGGGGACTCATGGGGGATCTCCAAGCCCAGGAATCACAGGCACCTACCGAAATGAGCTCTCCTCAGCCTGCTTCTTCCCAAGTGGGATGCCAAGGACACACAGGACAAAGCACATCTCCCGGCAGCTGGCCCTCAGCCTCCCGAGCACCTCGGGCTAGCGCCTGCCCTCTGTCCATCCATCCCTCCGTGGCCATCCACTCATAAGGACCACACAGACTCTCGGTGTCATTTCTTTAATATATAATTTTATTTCTGGTTATAGAAACAAATGCTAAGAGGAGAAACAAACTTCCCCATCCACATACAACAATTTAATAGATAAAAGAACAGTTAAAATAAATGAAAAACAAAAAGTAGAAATTTTAAACTTTGTTATAGCTTTAAAACATTAACGTCTGATACAATTAGAAATCACATTCAGATCTCAAACTTTTAAAAAAAAGTATGGCTCCTTATTAAAAAAATACTGTATCCCATTTGAAATGAAAACACAGGCTT